TGAATGCTGTATCAGGCCTTGTATTTGAAACTATAGTAGGACATACACATAGTGTATCTTCTAGCACCAAAAATGCTAGAAAGTGTAAGACAGATTGTCTTAGAGAAAATCATTAACTATTACTCTAGATTCTAATTGCATGAAATTCAACAGCAACTGGTAGTAATGGTGGGAAACTGAGGTCTTGACACTTAAACTCCACTTGAGCAAGGTTCTCCTCCTTTACACAGTGCTAAGATGTGTCTTACATTTTTTGTTAGACTTATTGGCTTGGGAAAGATGATTTTGTTCTACCAAAATGTGTTAAATACCACTATATTCAAGAATATTGTTGTTAGGTGTCATTGAGTCAGTTCTGACTCATAATAACCCTGTAGACAACAGAATAAATCACTACCCAGTCCTGTGCCTTCTTCACATTGTTGATATGTTTGAACTTGTTGCTGCGACTTTGTCATTGGGGGTCAAATACTTTTTGGCAGACCCTCCACTTTGCCAAGCATGATGTTCTTCTCCAGGGACTGGTTCCTTCTGATAACCCCATAATTCGAATTATACTTCAATATTTTAAGTTTTGGAATATTCAAATTAATATTGAGAGCTCAAAGCCTCAGTATCCCTAACTAGATACTGACATGTCAATATTTCAAAACAATGTGGGCAGAGCAGTAGGTGGGCAGCCACAGGATAGTGTGGAAGTGCAGAGGACATGGACTTGTGCTGCCATGTCTTCTTGATCTACTTTGTTGATAAGTGCTATCAAATCAGTTCAGACTCAGGACAACCCTGTATAGGGTTTCAGAAGAGTGGCTGGTGAGTTTGAACCATGGACCTTATGGTTCAAACTGACCTTGTGACCCAGTGCGTATCCTACAGTGCCATCTATTCGGCAGTGATTTTGTACTTTAATGTTGGAAGGCAACCTTGTTTCTGTGATTCTGAGTCCTGGAAGAGGATGGAAGTCATCAGTCCTGTGTACTGTTAGCTGTCCATTTGTTTTTCTTGGGGTTTTGTTTCAAATTAGGTGTCAGGTCTCTGGATGATGAAATAGCCCAGTATATCACTTAATCTTCATCTTTTCCCTCAACAATAGCAGAGGAAATTATTTTGTGTATTTTTGAATGCTGTAGTCAGTTCAATAGGAAATAAAGCCAGACTGGAGGGAAGCACAAAGATGATGCCAAGTATTTCAGCTTTCTGAAACACTTCACAGTGAGGAATTCTGCAGAGGGTAGCAATACTTGAGTGAGCTTGATTTGCTTTGTCAACATCCTGCTGAATCACTCAGCAAAGTCAGAAACCTCTTTAATTGCTAAATCACAAACAATATTTCCTTGTTCTGAACAGATCAACACTGATGGTAGGGTAGGAACTGATGGAAATGGAAACATTGAATGGGATTGTTGAGTAGGAAGGAGTGAATCTTTTGGATGTACACATCCTAAAAGGCTGGTTTTTTAGGTAATGTTCTGCCAACCTTTCCTAGTCTTTTCCTGACCTTCCCTAACAACTAAGAGTGGATCTTGATTTTCCATACTAGCTGAAATCAGGAAGGCTTGAGTTTGAATCTTCACTCTGATCCATGTTAGGTTTGGTACTTGGGATGAATTTTAGCTTCTCTGAAGAGAAGGTAAATTACCATCTCTAGTAGAGATGATAAGCAGCTCTGGTGGTACAGTGGTTAAAGTGCTCGGCTGCCAACCAGTAGGTTGGCAATTTGAACCCAACAGCTGATCCACAGGAGAAAGATGTGGCAGTTGGCTTCTGAAACTATTACACCCTATGGGTGTAATATCTGTTCTATAGGGTTTCTATGAGTCAGAGTCAACTCGATAGTTATCAGTGCTTTTGTCTTTTTCTAGATGTATATCTAGGGTATGTCAGATATAGCACCAATTTTAGGTGTGTGTGCCAATGAGCAGTTTCTATTCACCATGACAGTTTTTACTGTCAGCTGCAAGAAATTCAGCAATTTAAAAGTAATTGCCACAGACATTATTTTCCTTAGATACACCTCTGGATTCAGAGTTCAAACATAGCTCCACTCAAACGTGGCATTTGTAGTAGTGGAGGAGGATGTTGTTGTTAGGTGCTATCAAGTTGGTTCCAGGTCATATCAACCCTGTGTAGGGTTTCCAAGGAGCAGCTGGTGGGTTTGAACTGCCAACCTTGTGGTTAGCAGTCTAGGGCTTATCCTACAGCACCATGACAGTAGAGGATTCATTGTTATTAAGTGTCGTGGAGTCGGTTCTGACTCATAGCGACCCTGTATTGGGTTTCTGAGGCTTTGAATCTTTGTGGGATCAGAAAGCCTCATTTTTCTCTTACTAGCTGAGGAACTCAAACTGAGGATTATGTGGTTCACAGTCCAGTGCTTATCATATGGAACCACTATGCTCCTGTGTTTAAAACTCTTAGAATATTATCTGGCAAGTAGTAGGGACTCCAGAACTGCTAGTTATTTAGGTTAGGAGGGCACACAGAGTGTGCATACCCTAAGAGAAGTGTGAACTTACATAAATTCACACTAAGAGGTATTGATTAGTATTGCACTTTTTTCCCATAGAGCCAGTTGGTTTTTTAAGGCTATTATTATGAATTAAGTGGTAGTTTACATTGTAGAAAATTGGTTTTGCACTCAACCAATCATATTTTGTTTCAATACAATGATTACAATCTCCTCCATGTACCATTGGTTAACAGTATTTGCCACTATTCCTTCTTTCTTTCTTTCTTCTTCTTCTTCTTTTTTTTTTTATGTACACAAAAACTCATAGGAATATATAATCATTTAAACAAACAAAGGGCACATTTTTCAAGCCAACCTACTGGTTTCCAGCACACATCCTTTCTCTTTCCATGTATCCAGAGTCCTCAGCTGCTCTGTCTCCCCATGCCATCACCTCTGCCTCCATCTCAGGTGTCAATACTTCTCTGGTTAGTGTCCCATGTTCCCCTCATGTCCTTCCTCCTTGATGGTCGTAGTGTCCTCTGTTCCTGGGAGAGCCAGTTTTTTTGTTTTTTGTTTTTGGTATGGTTGTCATAGTCATGGAGCATTGGGCAATACACAGGAATTTTTTTATTTTGGGGAGAAGAGGGAAAAGCACAGCCTGGAATGTTATTTATTCATCAAACATTGGCATATAGCTCACTAGTTTCTGTAAAGTGAACAACAAAAAGAGGTGCTTTTAACTAACTTCATAGTCGGTCTCTCGGCCAACCCTCTCTTTCCTATAAAAAGCTGACATAGTGTACTGCTAGGAAGTGGGATTTCTGAGAAGTTCTTATAGCCCAAATATTTTGCTTTTTTTTTTTTTTTTAGCTTAGTAATTAATATGATGATATCAAAGTCAAAGTCGTGATATTGACCAGATTACTTTTACCTTGTCTCAATATGTGCATCACTTAAAAAGTCATCTGATAGGAAAGGATAACTGTATGTGTGAGCTTTTATTTTTAAAATATGTAGCAACATTTCTGTGTTTCATTGAAACAGCATATCTGAAACTAGTCCAATGATGTGCTACTGGTAGTCCATGGAGGAAGAGAAGAATTTCAGCTTCAAAAATGATTTTTTTTATTCTTGTTGGGGTTTCTGTATCTCCGCTGCTAAGAGTACCATCTAAGAAATATAGTTGAATGGAGCTATGTTTTTATTTCTTATCCTCCTCTTTATTGTCTCTGTTGGAAATTCACCCTCTACATGTGCCTACATGTGCGTAAGATTGTTCTGCTCATTGTTGAGAACAGCTTAGGGACTCTTTCTACTGTCTCCTCCCTCTCCACCTCTCCATAGTCTTTTGAAGGTATTAGAGAGTCATTACTTCTTTATTGTTTGTTATTGGAGTCTGTGAGCTTCTGGGGGCTAAGTGTTGCAGCTTGTTTATAAGCCCAGTACCTAACACAATACCTGGCTCTAATGAGTGCTTGTTCATAATTGACATAGTCAGAGAAATGCTTTTTTAATCTTTCACTTTCTTTCTGAAGCTCAGATTTAGTCTTTTCTTCTTCCCCTACATTCCCCTCTCTTGGACCTTGATGCTGATTGGAAAAACATGAAAATCGATGAATGGCTGGTTAGATGCTGGTACAAATCTATGGGAATTCATCAACATGAGGCAAGGCTTACCTGCTTGGGAATTGGAAATATTTTTGCTTTCTTTAAGTTATTTAGAGTGAGTAATTATATTTTATCCTTTTATTAATTTTGCTACCAACTTAAAGCATACTTTCACACACACATACATGCTACACGTGCATTGACCAGAGGACTCTGTGCTAGCATGTCTAGTCATTTCTGAAGTATAAAATATAACAGTGAGCAAATAAAACAAAATTTAATTTGACCAGCCTGTGAAACATATTGACTTCAAATTGAAGCAGGGCTGTTAATTCTTTCAGGGCAGTAACACACAGAACTTGGTTTCTGAAATGGATTAAAATGCATTCATTTATAAGTTTATAAGTTTATCCTTGATTAATTAACTGAGAAAATAATTGCTATGAGAAATTATGTGGAAATTGAATGACTGAAGCCCTAATTTTAGTTTTATCTTTGCAGCCCTTAGATGGTGCAAACGTTTAATATGCTCTGTTGAGAACATAAGGCCAGAGGTTCAAGTACATCAAGAGATACCTCAGAATAAAGATGTGGAGATCTACTTGTGAAAACCCTGTGGAGCACAGTTCTACTCATATGATCACCATAAGTCAGAATAGACTTGACAGCAATTAGTAGTTTTATCTTTGGATGTTTTACTGGTCTCTGGGCTTATGGCTTTTGTCAAGTTCTAAGAGTGGTTTTGAATTAGGTTCTATGACTTTGTGATACCTGCCTATCCACATGTCCAATGGGAGTGATGGGTTTCACAGGGAGAAAAGGCAAAATAGATAGAACTTAAAGATAGATGTCTAATCAGTACAGGGCCCAGAGCACTGAAACTGAGATAGGATATTGTGGATTTATTTCCTCTTTGGAGTTACAGCTTCCATTATTGTTTCTTCTGCAGGTGAAATTGATTTCCCTCCGATTGCTGTGACCTGGACGAGCAAAGAACAAGATTCTTTTCTTCTTTTTGGGACGCTAAATCCCTATGTGTACCACAAATTCCAGTGAGGGAAGAAGGGTGGTGCTTCTTGGATAAGGATGGAAATCCCAGTGGGCAGGATGAGGGCAAAGTGTGTGATATCACCACCACAAAGGTAAGTGCTGTCTCTCTCAGCCATTCTCCCCGGTGCCTATTATTTATCAAAGGAACCAGCCTTACACTATAGAGACTGGAATGAAGGTTAGAAGCTAGGGAGACAATTCTGATAGTAAAATCCACTGGGATTCATGGCATGTAACTAAATGAGCAGGGAGAAAATCATTCTGGAAGGATTAGATTGGAGTTGTAATGGGAAACAGGGTAAACCAACTTGAAAAATTCTAATTATTTTTTGCATTTATAGTTGAGATGAGGGAATACTACCACTCTTATGGCAAGATTCCATTTATGTGCATTCAAGTCAGTCTGGCTTAACATGGGTCTTGTGGAGATGGGGTTGGTGAGAATCTGGAAAGATCTGGCTTAGGTTGCAGCCTGGGCATTATATTGAACACATTTTTGTTTGATCCACATAATGGATTGAATCTAATGAAACTTATGATATTGTACACACAAACTAAGACTTTCTGGCACTCCTGAAACCCTGAAGGATAGAGCTATACTGTTCTTATGAAGCAACGTGGCGCCAAGTAGGCTCTGTGTTGTTAGATGCATGAGAATAGTTCACCACAGTTCTCAACCTGTACATTTTATTTGTTTAAATTACTCGGTTGGCCACTGCAGACATTCAGTTTCACTATTCTTCGTCTAGATTAGTTTGCTAGCTCTTTAACCAAAGCAATGATAGCTTTTTGCTAATTCTTCTAGTTTTACCACATTATGAGGAGTGATTTGAATTAGAGGTTGAGGTTAAAGAGATGACACTACATGATCTCTCCTACAGAGGAGCTTAGAGTCTAGCTGGGGAGACTGATAATTCATCAATGATCAGACTTGGGGGGAGTAAGGTTGTTGTTGTTGTATGCTGTCAAATCAGTTCCATCTCATGTTGACCCTAGGTTTCTGAGGCTATAAATTTTTACAGAAAAATTTACATGAAAAAATCCATTAGATGAGCAGAAAACCTCATCTTTTTCCAATGAAGTGACTGGTAGATTAGAATTTCTGATCTTGAGGTTTGCAGCCTAATGAAGCCTATACAAAGAAATTGAAATACCTTGTTATGTTGTTGTTATTAAGTGCTGTCAAGTTGGTTCCAACTCATAGCAATTCTGAATAGGATTTCTAAGGAGTGGCTGGTGGGTTTGAACTGCTGACCCTGTGGTTAGCACTCCAGTGCTTATTCTACAGCACCACACTAGGACATTAAAACACCTTGTGGATATTGTGGTAAGTGTTAAAATAAAGGACTGTGTTAAAAGGTAATTAGGGGTAGGGCTGTTAATTTGACCTAGGGACAATCCAGTTCTCCCATACTCCCTCACTTCAACACTAGAGCGTTCTCATTACAGCCATTTCTATATGAATTACTTTAAGTAACAAGGTCCACTTGGAGATCTGAAGGGTTCCTACCAAAGGTTGAGTCCTTCTTCTTGTATTATGGCCATCCTGTTTCTGGTTTGGGCTGCAAAGCTATCTGTGATTCTTTGGTTTTTACAAATAGGACACTTCTCTGGCTATTTGGCTTTGTAAATCAGATAAACTTTGTGAACTACAGAGATCCCTGAAGTTTCCAAAGAGGAGAAACCACAGATAACAATGAGTGAATGCAACTGTAATAGAATCCTACCAGTAGGAAGGAGAGAGGATAGGTGGAGCAAGAGTGGAAGGGACTAGGTGCAGGGTAGAGGAGGGAGAGATACTGTTATTACAATCTCCTATTTCTGGAATCAAGTTTTGCATGTGCCTTTTACTTTGTGTATTCAAAAAGTCTTTTGCATTTGCTGTTTTATACTCAAGGTGGTTTTATTATCTACTTTTATAGCCCAAAAAATACTCTACCCACCAAGGTCATGTAGCTGGGAAGAGGTATGTTTTTTTGAGTCCGAGCCTGAGCCCTTTGCTCTTTTTAGTTAACTACCCTAATAGTTCAACATGAATAGGGACACAGGGGGTTCATTTGTGCTCAGTACAACATTTAAAATTGGGCTTAGGTTATGAACATTCTGAAATAGGGTTCCCTGACAGTCGAGTGATTACTAAGACCTGTACTGCAAAAATGACATGAAGGCAGCGTCTGACTTCTAATGTTACAAAGTAGAGAGGAGGATAATAACCATCAGCATCAGTCCAAGGTTCCTACATGCTTCCATAGTCCAGTCTTTTCACCAAATCTGACACCAATTGGTCCTTCCATGACACTTTCTAGTTCTCTGATGGGTTCAATAATTCATTATAATGACCACACAGAACTCATAGACAATACTTATAATAGGATTTATTAGGAAAGTAATTGGTTACCATTCAGGATCAGAAACACTCAGGATACAGTTCTTTGATCTGGACAGACTATTCTCAGCTGTGCTGCAGGCATGCCTAGGCTCTTGGCCTTTCTTGGCCCTTTGGCCTCTGTCCTGCTTATTACAAAGTGCTTGAATTTCTGCCAATATATGCTCAAAGGCTTTCCACTTCACTAGTAAGCCTTGAACCCAAAGGCACTCAGCTCTTTGGCAAACCTAGGTTCCCCAACCCATTGAGTATCAGGAGGCAACTCCAGCAAACTTCTTGCTAGAAAACATTCAAATTTCTCACTCTGTGGACCAGAAAGCCCACCACTGCCTTCTGCTGGTCTCTTGCTTTTGCTGCCTCTGCTGCCACTACTCTCAACATTCCTGGTATTATAGCTCTGTGTCTCCTGGATCAAGGAAGTTCAGGCAGAGATCAGAGATCCAGAGGATGTGTTCCACTCCTGGTTCTTCATTCTTTAGAGAAGGGATTTTCTTCTCCCATAAAGATTTGCAGCTCCAGGAACCCTTTACAGAATACCTGAGTTGAGCTGACTCCACAACTGGCACTACCACCATCTTCCATGCCTCTTGGTACAACACAAACACCTCACATTTGCAGTGCTGACAAAGACTACTGACTATACACTGTGGAATGCCTGAAGAGCAAGCACATCTGTCTTAGAAGAGGGGAAGCCAGAATGCTCCTTAAAAGTGAATATGGTGAAACTTCATCTCACATAGTTTGGGTATCTTATCAGGAGGGACCAGTCTCTGAAGAAGGGCATCATGCTTGGCAAAATGGAGGGTTGGTGAAAAGAGGAAGAGCCCCAGTGGGATAGATTTGCTCAGTGGCAGCAATAGTAGGCTCAAACATTACAATTTTGAGGATGTTGCAGGGCTCTGAGTGTTTTGTTCTGTTGTCCATAGGATTTCTATGAGTGGGAATCAACTTGATGGCACCTAACAACAACAACCTTGATGGTACTGTAGGTTAAGTCTTGGGCTGCTAACTGCAAGGTCAGCAGTTCACACCCACAAGCTGCTTTATCGGAAAAAGATGAGGCTGTCTGTCTGTAGAGATTTATAGTCTCAGAAACCTTAAGGATCTGTTCTACTATGCCCTATCAGGTTGCTATGAGTCTGAATCAACTTGATGGTAGTGGGGTTTGGTTTGGTTTGACCCTATAGGGTATGTGAAAGTTGGAAACAAAATTGGAAGAAAAGAAGAATCAGTAATTGGAAAATGTGGTTTTGGTGATAGAAACAATACATTAGATTGCATGATAGAATTTTGCAAGACCAATGACTTATTCATTGTGAATATTTTTTTAAAAAAATCCTTATCAGTGACTATACACATGTACCTTACCAGATAGAATACCCAAGAATCAAATCCATTACATCTATGGAAAGAGAGGATGGAGAAGCTCATTATCATCATCAGAATAAGTCAAAGGTTGCACTATAGAACAGACCATCAATTTCTCTCATTTGCAAGTTCAAGCTGAAGATTACAACAAGTCCATGAGAGCCAAAGTATGACCTTGAGTATGTTCCACCTAAATTTAGAGACCATCTTTAGAATAGATTTGATGCATTAATACTAATGATTGAAGACCAGAGGAGTTGTTGGATGACATCAGGACTTCATACACGAAGAAGGCAACAGGTCATTTAAGAAACAGGAAGAAAAGAAAAGACTAAAATGGATATCAGAAGAGATTCAGAAACTTGCTCTTGAACATACAGAAGCTAAAGTGACTGGAAGAAATGATGCAGTAAAAGAGCTGCACAAAAGATTTCAAAGGTTTGTTCAAGAAGGCAAAGTAAATTATCATAATGAAATGTGCAAAGACCTGGCGTTCTCTTTACTAAAAGAGAAGAACACAGTTGCCATTTCAAACTGGAAGAGTTGGAGAAAATATTTAAGCCTAGAGTTGCCATACTGACGGATTATGTGGACAACATATTGAATGATATCCAAAGCATCAAAATAATAAAAAGGAATACACAGAGTCATTGAACTGAAAAGAATTGTCTGATGTTGAACCATTTCAGAGGTACCATATAATCAAGAACTGATGGTATTGAAGACAGAAATCCAAGCTGTATTGAAGGCATTGGTGGAAAATATGACTCCAGAAATTGATGGAATATCAATTTAGATGTTTTTACAAACAAATGTAATGCTAAAAGAATACTCATCTATGCCATGAAATTTGTAAGACAGCCACTGGCCAACTGATTGGAGGATATCTATATTTGTGCTCATTCCAAAGAAAGGTAATCCAACAGAAAGTAGAAATTATTGAACAATATTATTAATATTACAGGCAAGTAAATTTTGCTGAAGATAATTTTAAAAATTTGCAAAAGTATATTGACAGGGAACTGCCAGAAATGCAAGTCAGATTGAGAAGAGGACTTGGAATAACATTGCTAATGTCAGATGGATCTTAGCTGAAAGCAGAGAATACTAGAAAGATGTTCACCTTTCTTTGTTTTATTGACTATACAAAGGCATTCAACTGTTTGGATCATAACAAACTATAGATAACATTGTGAATGATGGATATTTCTGAACACTTAATTGTGTTCATGTGGAACCTGTATATAAAACGGTACCATGGAGTACTATCTGGTTTTAAATCTGGAAAAGGGTATGTCATGGTTGTCTCCTTTCACTATATTTATGCAGTGTGTATAC